TTTCCCAATTCCGCTCACACGACCCTTCACTCCCTCTCCCTTTCTCTCTCTCTCTCTTTCTCTCTCTATCCCTCCCTCTCTCTGTCTCTCTCTCTCTCTCTCTCTCTCTCTCTCTCTCTCTCTCTCTCTCTCTCTCTCTCTCTCTCTCTCTCTCTCTCTCTCTCTCTCTCTCTCTCTCTCTCTCTCTCTCTCTCTCTCTCTCTCTCTCTCTCAGTTTCATGTTAACAAATGGGGCTCTACAAAATTACAATTCTGATGAGCATTTAACATGCTATAAAATGTTTGTTAATGTTTTAATGCCTGGTCCAAGTAGGTGTTATATTAGAAGGGCGTCTGTTGTTAGTGTTAAGATATAATCATATACCATCTGCAGACCAGAGGTGCTGGGGGTGCTGGGGTCACCTATGGACCTGAGCTTAATTTTTCCACTTTCCCAAATGTTTTTCAACATATATTTATTCTGAAAACATGGCTGATGTTGTGATGTTCTTGAATACAACACTAAGCTGCTGGTTGAACGTCTTGTGAACAAATCTACAAGGAGAGGCTTGTGCTTCGGAGAGGCTACGGGATCCAGTAAGTTCAGTAGAACTTCGGTTTCAACCCTTTTAACCCTGTCGTAGCTAGTCGATTAAGGCAGTGTCTGAGATGCTCCCGGACGCAGGTTCGAATCCTCGTCACGGCCCTTGTGGATTTGTTCATTTGATGCATCACGTTAGTGTGATCTCTGTGTGTGAATCGTCTTGTGTTGTAATCACCTCTTCACGGAGATGACCGGACAGGATCTTGCTGGACTGACATGACCAGCCAAGATGAGTCGAAGCAAGAGAAGTGGCTCATCACCTCGTTCAGTTGACAAGTAATTTGCATATAGAGTTTGGCAGCCGCTGCTGCTGAGCGAGAGAGCGGCGTATTAATACTGCAGGTTGCTAGTGGCCTCGTATGGTTTAGAACCGAGGCTTCATAGTTATTACAGAATCAAATTTCACTCCCAGGATATCCAATCTTTCTCTTCCTCTCTTTCCTCTTTATTATTGGCTTTTCATGTCCCTTTCCCCCTTTCCCCTGGCCCCTTTTACAGCCTACACGAGCATCAACTGCTCATCCTCCCCACCACGCAGCTGTATCACCAGCCTCTACCCTCCCCTCTTCTTCTACCTTAAATAAGAGAGGGGAAATGCGTGTAACAGAGAGAGTGTAGGGAAGGGGAGATGATGGAGCAGGGGAGGGGAGAAAGTTGAGTAAGGGAGAAAGGACAGGTGAATTGTTATCCACACTTTCGTGGATATAAACTTTCCTTTTATTATTAAGGGAATTAAATAAGGAAGCTTTCCTTATTAAGACCCCTCAATAGCTCGGTCGATAGAGCTTCGGTTTCACACATGTGGGGTCCAGGGTTCGAGTCTCCTAGAGCTAAGGTGAATGGAAAAGACAGGTGAGTTTTGGAGGGAGAAAGCTCCTTGCCTGAGTCTATCCCACTCTCTCTCTCTCTCTCCCATACCTCTTCCATCCACAGTCTCCCTCCCCCCCCAGCCTCAGCACCCCCCTTTCCCAGCTTCCATGTACCCCGCCCCCCGCCCAAGCTGGCGCCTATCAACGCTTAAGCTGTCAGCTTTCACAGGCCAGCACCTGAAGGAGCCCTCATATGCCCCCACACAGATGACACATTCAAGTAATATGGTAACTTTGTTTGGGGTTCAGACGGAACCCTTCCCCCCATCACTGGCCCAGGCCCCACCACTGGACCAGGCCCCATCACTGGCCCAGGCCCCATCACTGTACCAGGCAGGCCCCATCACTGGCCCAGGCCCATCACTGGACCAGGCCCAATCACTGGCCCGGGCCCCATCACTGGACCAGGCCCCATCACTGGCCCAGGCCCATCACTGGCCCAGGCCGGCGTGAGAGAAGGTGAGGGTGTCCGGGTTTAGTAACAGTTGCCATTTACTGGAAAATGTTACCAATTAATTTTTGACAAGGCGCAACGCGTTTACATGTAAAGCACCTCTCATGCCCTCTCTCTCTCTCTCTCTCTCTCTCTCTCTCTCTCTCTCTCTCTCTCTCTCTCTCTCTCTCTCTCTCTCTCTCCTCCCCCTCTCTCTCTCTCTGTCCTCAATCTCTGTCTCTTCTCTCTCTCTCCTCTCTCTCTCTCTCTCTCTCTCTCTCCTCTCTCTCTCTCTCTCTCTCTCTCTCTCTCTCTCTCCTCTCCTCTCTCTCTCTCTCTCTGTCCTCTCTCTGTCTCTCTCTCTCTCTCACTCACTCACTCACTCTGTGTGTGTGTGTGTGTGTCTGGCCTCTGGAGGGCCCCGACCTGCCTCCGTGTCTAGTCTCTGGGGGCCCCCGACCTGCCTCCGTGTCTGGCCTCTGGGGGCCCCGACCTGCCTCCGTGTCTGGCCTCTGGGGGGCCCCGACCTGCCTCCGTGTCTGGCCTCTGGGGGGCCCCGACCTGCCTCTGTGTCTGGCCTCTGGGGGGCCCCGACCTGCCTCTGTGTCTGGCCTCTGGGGGCCCCGACCTGCCTCTGTGTCTGGCCTCTGGGGGGCCCCGACCTGCCTCCGTGTCTAGGCCATTTTAGTATATTTATGGAAAGTTTGTGAAATGCAAAACAAATGCAAATTTTACTTCATATTTGTAGGCTGTGTTAAAAAAAGAAAATATAGTTTTCTTCCTGTCAAAAGGGAGGAATTTTTCCATGACTGTAGGTACATGTAAATTTTGGGTAGAGGTCAAGAGGTAGTGTATGTCACCTCAGACTTACTCCTTCAACCTCAGACTTACTCCTTCAACCTCAGACTTACTCCTTCAACCTCAGACTTACTCCTTCAACCTCAGACTTACTCCTTCAACCTCAGACTTACTCCTTCAACCTCAGACTTACGCCTGGCTCCCTCAGTCTTGCTCCAGGAGCCTCACTTAAACTACCTCACACACACACCTGGTTAAATGAGTGAGAGGAGCTCTGTGAGAGCGCCTACCTCTGGTGAGGTAGAGCTCTTCTCAAGAGCTCTATGAAAGCCCCACACTGGGTAGGGAGGGTGCCACCTACTGGCTTCATGGCACTGATGAAGCCCCTTGCTGGCAGCCTCCGCACAGGATCCTACCTATTAGTTTTTTTAATATATAGAAGGAGGAGGCCACGAAGGAGGAGGCCGTAAAGAAGGGAGAGGATGAGGGAGAGAGGGAGGATTTGAGAGGCGCCAGAGAGCTAAATGACAGTGAGACAGAGAGAGAAAAGACACCTACTTCAGTGAGCCAAGACGACATATTATAAGGCGCTGCTCACTACCACAACTCTCCCCCCCCCCCATGCAGACCATCTTCTCCCCCCCCCATGCAGACCATCTTGCCCCCCCCATGCAGACCATCTTCCCCCCCCCCATGCAGACCATCTTGTTGTTGTAGAGCTTCCCTGAGGCATGGGTAAGAGGCTGAGTACATGGGTGAGAGGCTGAGTACATGGGTGAGAGGCTGAGTACATGGGTGAGAGGCTGAGTACATGGGTGAGAGGCTGGGTACATGGGTAAGTGGCTGGGTACATGGGTGAGAGGCTGGGTGCATGGGTGAGAGGCTGCGTACATGGGTGAGAGGCTGGGTACATGGGTGAGAGGCTGGGTGCATGGGTAAGAGGCTGGGTGCATGGGTGAGAGGATGGGTACATGGGTGAGAGGATGGGTACATGGGTGAGAGGGTGGGTGCATGGGTGAGAGGGTGGGTACATGGGTGAGAAGATGGGTACATAGGTGAGAGGATGGGTGCATGGGTGAGAGGCTGGGTACATGGGTGAGAGGATGGGTACATGGGTGAGAAGATGGGTACATGGGTGAGAGGATGGTTCATGGGTGAGAGGCTGGGTACATGGGTAAGAGGCTGGGTACATGGGTGAGAAGATGGGTACATGGTGAGAGGATGGGTGCATGGGTGAGAGGCTGGGTACATGGGTGAGAGGATGGGTACATGGGTGAGAGGGTGGGTGAATGGGTGAGAGGGTGGTGCATGGGTGAGAGGGTGGGTGCATGGGTGAGAGGGTGGGTGCATGGGTGAGAGGGTGGGTGCATGGGTGAGAGGGTGGGTGCATGGGTGAGAGGCTGGGTACATGGGTGAGAGGATGGGTACATGGGTGAGAGGGTGGGTGCATGGGTACATGGGGGCTGGGTGCATGGGTGAGAGGCTGAGTGCATGGGTGAGAGGCTGGGTGCATGGGTGAGAGGCTGGGTGCATGGGTGAGAGGCTGGGTACATGGGTACATTTGACTCCTTAACAAATAACGAACACTTGACACCCTAACATGTAAAGGACACTTAAGTTAGCCATCAGTAACGCCAAGGTATCGTTAGCCAGAGAAAACTCCATTTAAAACCCATTAACAACCAGTAATGGCCAACTGGCTGTAACTTGGAACCCGGATGTTCCTGCTGGAGCCTTAAAAAACGAAAAGGGTTTCCCTCAAAAAGCTTTCGTAGGTTTGGAAGCCTTCGAGTCGACGACCTGCTTTCTCCCCTCCCATTCCTCAGTTCTCTTCCATTACCTCTCGTCTCCCCCCCTTTCCACCCCACCCTTCCTTCCCTTCTCCCCAACTGGGAAGTGTGAGCCTAGAAAACTTTATCTTCTACCATTTCAGACACTCTTGAAGTGGTTCTTTCTTCTAGTGAAACCTGTCATATTTCGGGTCATACTTTCTGACAGAGTCTGTCAACATTCTTCCTCACAACCTGTTAGTGTTCCCAACAGCCCCTCCTTCAGTCACCTTTTCTATTGGTTGGGTTTTGGTTTTGATGTCCAAACGGCTTGGCAAGGATGGGAAAGAAAGAAGGAAGGGGAAGGAAGAAGGAAGGGGAAGGAAGAAGAACGGGGAGCTGAAATTCTGGAAATACATTTTCTATTGAGGTTCCAGCTACTGTTCCAGTCATGGCTCAGGTAGTGCTTCGACCAGAGTTCCAGACATTATTCTAAATAGTGCTCAAGTCATTGTTCTTGCCAGCATTCTAGGATTGTTCCAGGAGCCATGCTTCCAGGAGACAGAGTTCCAGGCAAGGTTCCAGGCAAGGTTCCAGTAGACAGAATTCCAAGCAAGGTTCCAGGAGACAGAGTTCCAGGCAAGGTTCCAGGAGACAGAGTTCCAGGCAAGGTTCCAGGAGACAGAGTTCCAGGCAAGTTTCCAGGAGACAGAGTTCCAGGAGACAGACTTCCAGGCAAGTTTCCAGTAGACAGAGTTCCAGGCAAGGTTCCAGGAGACAGACTTCCAGGCAAGGTTCCAGTAGACAGAGTTCCAGGCAAGGTTCCAGTAGACAGAGTTCCAAGCAAGGTTCCAGGAGACAGAGTTCCAGGCAAGGTTCCAGGAGACAGACTTCCAGGCAAGGTTCCAGGAGACAGAGTTCCAGGCAAGGTTCCAGGAGACAGAGTTCCAGGCAAGGTTCCAGTAAACAGAGTTCCAGGCAAGGTTCCAGGAGACATTCCCATGCTAAGACTTCCGGCTTGGCTGCCACCCTGACAGCGTTAGCATCGATTAAACCTGAAATGTTTCAAAGCTGCCCCCACGAGCGCCTTCATTGAAAGAACTGACGAGCAACGTGCATGTGGGTGTAGAGGGTGTAGAAAGCTGCATGCGGGTGCAACAGGAAGCTTTAGAAGGATATAGGTGGGTGTAAGTGGGTGTGGAGTGTAGATGGATGAAGGTGGGCGTAGGGGGGCGTGGGTAATAGGGTACACGGGAGTATAGGGTGAACGTAAGAGATGTAAATGAAAAGTTAAACTGTAGAATGGTGTAGAGGAATGTAGACGATAGGTAAAGATGTCTCATAAAGCTAATAACGTTAATCTTCCGTACTCTCAGGTTGTGTTCTATTATACGTGATGAAAGTCCCTCTATTTAGTCTTTCCCTCTATGCTCCCTCCCGCTATACTCTCTCCCTCCCTCCCTCTACATCCCACCCGCCAACCCAGCTAGGAGCACCAGCCAAGAGATCAAGTACTAACACAATTTGTCTCAGAGAATCCAAAATTGTGAGTTTCCCCAAGACTGTTTTGAGGCGGCTTCGTGGTGGCTTCGTGGTGGCTTCGTGGTGGCTTCGTGGTGGCTTCGATGTGACTTCGTGGTGACTTCGATGTGACTTCGATGTGACTTCGATGCGACTTCGATGTGACTTCGATGTGACTTCGATGTGACTTCGTTGTGACTTCGTTGTGACTTCGCGGTGAGTTCGATGTGACTTCGAAAATTGTATTATTTAAATACATTTTGCTTCCTTGGTGGTAATTATGGTGACACAAGGAGCTTCTCGAGGCGTAAGGCGAAGTAATTAGCACGTGAGAGTGTAAGTCTGGATGGGTATACAACACCAGGACAAGGAGCTGGAATATGAGGACAAGGAACTGGTATATGAGTACAAGGAGCTGGAATATGAGGACAAGGAACTGGTATATGAGTACAAGGAGCTGGAATATGAGGACAAAGAGCTGGGATATGAGGACAAAGAGCTGGAATATGAGTACAAAGAGCTGGAATATGAGGACAAGGAGCTGGAATATGAGGACAAGGAGCTGATATATGAGGACAAGGAACTGGGATATGAGGACAAAGAGCTGGGATATGAGGACAAGGAGCTGGAATATGAGGACGAGGAGCTGGTATATGAGGACAAGGAGCTGGAATATGGGGGACAAGGAGCTGGAATATGAGTACAAGAAACTGGTATATGAGGACAAGGAGCTGGGACATGAGGACAAGGAGCTGGAATATGGAGGACAAGGAGCTGGAATATGAGAACAAGGAACTGGAGTATGAGGACAAAGAGCTGATATATGAGGACAAGGAACTGGGACATGAGGACAAGGAGCTGGGATAAAAAGGCAAAATTTTACTCTCACACAACACAAAACACTACAACCACCCATAATAATTATTAATACTTTTGTAATCCCTAGAGCGAATCTCCAATATGCATCCTGCTTCCCTTTGAATTCACAGCTAAACAATCCTTGAAGAATCAGTGATTAATTCGTTTCCTGTATAAGATCCTCCCACAAGACGGTCGCAAGGTAGATGAGATTGTCCAGTTCCCACAGACAAGTCTCGTTGATCTTAAGCTGATAATCTCCCACAGGAATATCACTCTGGGTCATACCATTTACCAGATTAGTGTGTTAAAAAAAAACCTAATACTGACAGCAGAAGGATTATTTTCCTTGAAGCGGAGTCTTTCATTGAGCGGTGTCGCTTCTTCTTCACGTCCCCCAGCCCTACTCTTCAACCTCTTCTGAGTCGGATTGAATTCAAGTCGCGGGTTTAAAGGAGAAGGCGCCTCGTTAGCTGTGAATGAGACCTGGAGGAGAGGACGCGTACTTCACACCACTCTTCAGCTTCGTTACCTCAGAGAGAACCCCCGCACGAAACAGCTTGGACAGGCCTGTGAATGAACTTCTTGAAGCAATTTGGGTAACCCTGCGAATGAACCCCATGAATATCTTAGAACTATCTGTGAATATATCCCAAAGAAGAGCATGGATATACTTGTCAATATATCCCACATAAGAGCATGGATATACCTATGAATATATCCCACAGAAGAGCATGGATATACCTACGAATTTATCCCACAGAACAGCATGGATATACCCGTTAATGAATACCATAAAGCGGCCTGGATTTACCTGTGGATTAACCCTTTGAAGCGGCGTCGAGAGCTCGACTCAGGTCGAGCATGAAGCGGACTAACAACTCCAGGGGTCGTTAACAGTGAACGAGGCAGTTCAGCGCGGCCTTCAACACACCACAACACAGCATCCTGGGGCTTCGAATCACTGACGCAGTAATAAACTTTCTGACAGGGTTGCTGATGCTCTGAAGCTGCGTTAAAAAGCTTTGTTGCGTTGCTATCAGAAGTTGCAATGGCTGTGAGCCACTTGCAATGGCTGTCAGCAACTTTTATGAGAGTTATAAATAAGTTTGATGGCGTGGAGAGGCACGGAGGAAAATGCCGGTCGGCCTTGAGGCTCTTACCGTAATGTATAACTTTATTGTTCCCAGATTTTCCTGTCCAAGTTGATGTGGTTTCAGGAGTTATTGTGTGTGTTAAACTGTCTTTAGACGTTTATGTTACTGTCTCTCTTCCGTCTGTCTGTCTGTCTCTTGATGTGTGTGTTCTGTTTCGTTACTGTGTCTGTCTGTCTCTCTCCTCCATGTTACTCTAGTGTCTGTTACTCCAGTACTCCACCTGTCTACAATCCTAGTACAACCTACAATCCGAACTTGCCTACAATCAAACCATATCAAATTGTCTTCAATGAACTGACTGCTTTATGCAACAGCATATTCCTCAGCTAGTTGATGTATGATTAAGTAAGGCAATATTCCCCTAACTGCAGTCATTTTACCTTAACAATATACTACATAATTTGGTGCTGTATTTGATAAAGGGTTCACTCCTAAGTCATGTTAAATATTAACCTCGTACCAGCGACTCTGGCTTCGACCACATTAGCTTGAGCTTAGAAGTGAAGCAGATGGATACGAACATCAGTGTCCAGGGCATTAGGGCATTAGGGTTCTAGGGCATTAGGGTCGAGGGCCTTGCATCTCCTCAACCTGTTCTCCCCTGAGTGGATAACTTTATCAAGATCATTACACTAGATCAAACAGGAAGGAATGTTGTGTTTATTTACCTTTGTACACATATATGCCTTTGTTGTTTAGTACCTGTTTAGTACCTGTATATTACATGCCTTTAGTAAATATTAGTCTGGAGACATTATGACAGTTAATAAATGACAAGTTCTTTTAATATAATTTATGAGAAGCAATAATATCCGGTGATGACATATAATTCACGAGACTAATTATATCAACACGAGCGCCTAATTATCTTACGTTTTAAACATTCGCTGTGTGGAAAGCTTGGGTTACATAGCTGGTTACGTGGACCAGGTTAGGCGTCACTCCCGTACCGTCACTGTGGCGTCACTCCTGTACCGTCACTGTGGCGTCACTCCTGTACCGTCACTGTGGCGTCACTCCTGTACCGTCACTGTGGCGTCACTCCTGTACCGTCACTGAGGCGTCACTCATCCACCCGTCACTGTGGCGTCACTCCTGTACCGTCACTGTGGCGTCACTCCTGTACCGTCACTGTGGCGTCACTCCTGTCCCGTCACTGTGGCGTCACTCCTGTACCGTCACTGTGGCGTCACTCCTGTCCCGTCACTGTGGCGTCACTCCTGTCCCGTCACTGTGGCGTCACTCCTGTCCCGTCACTGTGGCGTCACTCCTGTACCGTCACTGAGGCGTCACTCATCCACCCGTCACTGTGGCGTCACTCCTGTACCGTCACTGTGGCGTCACTCATCCACCCGTCACTGTGGCGTCACTCCTGTCCCGTCACTGAGGCGTCACTCATCCACCCGTCACTGTGGCGTCACTCCTGTCCCGTCACTGTGGCGTCACTCCTGTACCGTCACTGAGGCGTCACTCATCCACCCGTCACTGTGGCGTCACTCCTGTCCCGTCACTGTGGCGTCACTCCTGTCCCGTCACTGTGGCGTCACTCCTGTCCCGTCACTGTGGCGTCACTCCTGTCCCGTCACTGTGGCGTCACTCCTGTCCCGTCACTGTGGCGTCACTCCTGTCCCGTCACTGTGGCGTCACTCCTGTACCGTCACTGTGGCGTCACTCATCCACCAACTGCCCCCGTCACTCTCCACCAATGGTAGCAATGAGACAGGGCCCACATCGCCCTCCAGCGAGGCGCTTAGCTAAAACTCCACATTCTGACTCTCTTTCACTCTCCTCTCACACTCACACGAATTTTTTTCCGTGCGATTAGCGTGTTTAAATCATCAGTGATAAGAAGACCGTCTTAAGAGGACTGAGAGTAGTTACAGTCCTACTACTAAATTACCCCTCCCCCCCCCTTTTAACTACCCCCACACTCCACAAACTCATCCCCCCCTCCTCCACCCCTTCTCCACCTTCCAGGTCTAAGCCTTAAGAAAAGCCGAGAAGTTAAATTTTCATTGCAAGTGAATAGAAAAAAATGTGAATAACCTAAATATTAAAACTTCTCGTTTGAGTTAAGCTTAACCACTCGACTCTAAGACTGGGGAACCATCTAAGACCAGCTTAACAAGCTTGTGCATCATTCAAGTTGTCTATATAACTACTTAACGTCAAAATTTCGTCTCAGTGACCTCAGATAGTTAGGAAGAACTCCCCCGTCCTCGTCTAAATTAATAATACTAATAAATATGCAAATATTTGAATTGCATTTTGTCTTATTATCTGAATATTATAATTAGTACAATAGTGTAGAGAAACAAAAAGGGGGGGTTGGGGGGGGGGGGGGGCGGGTGAGCAGGAGGATGCAATGGCTCCGCCCGGAACGGAAATATGACGACGCCCGGGGTGACAAGTGTGTCTCTGATCCCGTGTACAAATACACGGGATGTGCAGGTGAATCCTGTCAAGTGTTGGAGTAACGTGATAGATGACGCTCTCTT